TGATGCTCACCATACTAGTATACCTTGCGACCCCAATGTGGTTAGAGTACGTAGCATCAATGGTTGTCATTTCGTTGTATCTCGTGAATCACATGATGCCATGGATGTGGTGCATGATTTCTGCGACTTACTCGACATGATAATGTCAAACACGAGAAATAGCGCTCAATACCAAACGAATCCAGGTGGTCATATTCGGAAATGGAAGTTTGAAACCCATCGAGGTCTATCACCAAGGAATAAGTTTGAAAGCCGTCGACCATCCTAGTGTGGATGTTTGTCGTTTTGACAGTTCTGGCATACCGTGAGATGTTGATGTGCTTGATAACCAGTGCAACATTTTACTCATCTGGCAAAGTAGCATGAATGCTTTCCATTGATTTGTATCTTGCAAAGCACAAGATACTTGGTCAAACATCTCTCCGAAGGTGGTACACGGTTCTGGTGCCGTACTCGGTTTTCAGACATGTCAAATAACACTCAAATCCAATACAAGTTCGGGCGCTATATAAGGAATACGGATATTCAAAACCCATTGAGGTCTATCACCGAGGAAAAAGTAAAAAGTCATTGGCCATGCTAGTGCGGATGCTTGCCGTTTCAGCATATCTTGCGACTCCAATGTGCTTGTTTAACTAGTGTGAAGTTTTACTCATTTGGCGAAGTAACATGAACACTTGCCATATCTATGTATCTTGCGAAGCACATGATACTTGGTCAAACATCTCTCCGGAGGTGGTACATGGTTCTGGTGCCATATTTGGTTTTCAGCCATGGCAAATAACACTCAAATCAAATACAAATTTGGGCACTATATAAGGGATACATACGTTCAAAACCCATTGAGGTCTATCACCGAGGAACAAGTCAAAAATCATTGGCCATGCTAGTGCAGATGCTTGCCATTCAGGCATATCTTTCAACTCCAATGTGCTTCTTTAGCTAGTGTGAAGTTTTACTCATTTGGTGAAGTAACATGAACGCTTGCCATATCTATGTATCTTGCGAAGCACATGATACATGGGCAAACATTTCTTCGGAGGTGGCGGTTCTGGTGCCTTATTTTGCATGAAATTGCCGGACAGACAAATAATGTAAACATGGTGGTCCTATTTGGCAACTGAAGTAACCCATCATGGTCTATCACTGGGGAACAAGTCAGAACACCGTCGTCCATCCTAGTGTGGATGCTCACCGCTCTAGCAAATCTTGCGGTGGTGATGTGCTTGTTTACCTTGTATGACATTCACTCGTTCAGCAAAGTAGCATGAACACATGTCATTTCTCTGTATCTTGCGGAACACGTGATAGTTGGTCAAACATTTCTCTGAGGTGGTACACTGCTTCAGTGCCTTATTCGACAAGAAATTGTTGGACATGGAAAATGACACTCAAGTATGACAAAAATTTGGGTTACCGCATTGGGTAACCAAAGTTGGAAACCTGTTGAGGTCTATCATTGAGGTACAAGTCGAACAATGTCAACAATCCTAGCCCCGATGCTCGGCATTTCGGTGTACCTTGTCTCACATATGTGCTTGGTTACCTAGTATAACACTTTGCCATTTCGTTGTTTCTCATGAAGCACATGATACCCATTCAAACATTTATTTGGATGCGGTACATGATTTCAGCAACCTATTCGACATGGTATTCTTGGACACGATGAATAACACCAAATCCAAGATGAAGCACATGATACCTAGTCAAACATTTATCCAAACGTGGTACATGATTTCGTTGCCTTATACAACATGATTGTTGGACATGGCAAGTAACGCTCAAATCAAATCCAACACGAATTTGGACTATCATATTCAGAAATCAACGTTGGAAACCCGTGATATGTCGGTTAGGAACAAGTCGAACATCGTCGACCATCCTAGTCCCAACGGTCGCCATTTCGTTGTATCTTGGCGATCCCGATGAGTTGTTTACCTACTCAACATTTACTCAGACACGGTACTAGATTCAACAATTGAAGTTGGACAACCGTAGAGGTCTAAATCATATAGGAACAAGTTCAACATCGTTGGGCAGGCTAGCTCCGACGCTCGTTATTTCGGTAGACCTCGCAATGCCCATATGCTTGCTTACTAGTCCAACACTTCTTAAGACGTGGTAGAGGATCTCGGTGCCTTATCCACCATGATATTGTTGGATACGTCAAAAGCACTCTAATCCAACACGGATTCAGAGTGTCAAACTCAAAAAAAGGACACCCTAGAGGTCTATCATCGAGGAACAAGTTAAATGACGCCCGCCTCATGGTCCCGACACTCAAGAATCCGTTATACACATATGCGCTCAACATGGACTCAAACATAGTATTCGATTTTGGTGCCTCATATGGTATGTATTCTTAAACAAAAAAACAACACTAAAATCCAACATGGATTTGGGGATGTTGACTTGGAAACCAAAGTTTGGCAAGGATGTCCGAGCAATGCCGGAGATGTTTGTTGTACGGCAGTACCGTGATTGTTTGTCGCACCAACGATGCCATATCAAGCACCTTTTACGTTGTGAAGCATATGTGCTTGCTTACCTAGTCTAATATTTTTTTGGATGGGGCAAATAGCATTCGAATCCACACGGATTTGGAGTGGAATCAGCAATCAAAGTTGACACTGATGTTCGAGCAAAAATCCATTTTGTGCATGGATTTCGGCAGCCCCTTTACCACCACCACTTTGTCGTTGACCAGAGACCAAATCACACACGATTGGTTGCGAGAGTGCAAGTGAGCAAAGCAACCCCGCCCCTTCTCCACGACTAGATCCCCCCGAAACGTGGTTCCACATGATGCACATTATTCCCATTTGTTTCTTTGCCTTTAATATTTATGTCAACATGATTCATATTTAGGCTAAACTAACTATTTTTGACTGGAAAAATAATTAGCTAAAGGGTCTACTAGAGCGGATCTATTAATATTACCAAACAAACATGTGGTTATTTCCTCTTTTTTTTTGAGAAATTGTTCATTCAAATCATGAATCAGTACAGAGTAGGTGACCCTTACAAGCACACTGAAACACAAAAAAAAAGACCATGAACACCTAGAGTACCCTAAGACAACCATAACACAAGAAGATCTCCGGAGCCCTGTGTCATCATCCCTGAATCTTGAGAGAAGACCCCTGCATTAGAAGGATCTGCAACCAGTCGCAAACAGGTCATCATCTTCGACCACGGTATAATTGCCGCCACGCTGCTTCCTCCTTTCTTGACACCAGCGCTGAGAGGGCATGGACATCAATCCAACACACCTGCAACAGCCGTCGCCATCTTTGGCTTTGAGTACCGCGAAAAGTGTCCCTTCCGGAAGGAAGAGATCTCGAGTCATCCGACCGGTCCGGCACCGCGGCCGGGCCATCCACCCGGGCAAAGCAGGATCTCCCACCAGCATCAGCGCAGAGGAAGGAGAAGAACAGCAGCAGCAAATCGTACCAACAAGGAAGAAGAAAGGTCTTCGTCTCCCTACCTCCATCGCCCATCTGAGGATCCAAACGGCCAGTGCCGATGGACCTCCAACCACCATAGCCCACGACCTCGATGAGATCCGGGGATCCCCAACACCGCTGGCTCCTAGACGAAGGCAAAAGCCTCGCCTGACCGCGAACGGAGCCCGGAGAAACTTATTCCGACGCAACACCACCGGAACGGTCTCGGCAGCGTCTCCCTCAACCCTAACCCTACCACACACACACCTAGTGAACAGACCCGAGGTTCCCCCTCCCTCCCGCCGCCGGAGCGGCCGACGGAGAGAGAGGGAACCGGCGGCGTCACCGGCGGCGCGCAAGGGACCCCTAGTCGCCTCCCTGATCGCCTCGAGGGATCCAACTTTTCCGGGCGTGCGGTTAGGAAACGATAGATCTGACATGTGGTTATTTCCTAAAAGGTTGGTTCCATTATTCTTCATAACCCCTCCGTAACATAATTATAAGATGTTTTTTTTGGCATATACTCCCTCCGTGTAGTATTTGTCCTATTGAACGTGTAGTTGAACAGGAACTGCAGAGATAGCAATAACTGACTATGCTAACTCCTGCAGCTAGGTTTTGCCGACGCAGTGTTGATCTTCTAACAAACGATAAGCTGCATTATCGTGGTACTCCTAGGGGCTGTTCGGCAGTCCACCAGCTCCCTGGAATTTGAGAATCTGGGGAGTACCTGTTCAGTCGCTCTGCAGTTTTCGACTAGAACTCCGCCAGCTCCTGGAGCGGCAGCGTGGAGCACAGGGACTCCGAACAGTCCCCTAGTTCCTAAATCTGTGCTCCCGATGCATATGCCCATGTATATATCGCCAGTACTAGTGCGAGTTTTACATTTTTTTTAATATACGTATAATAGAGAGAGAATACTGTGCCTTTTCTTTTCTTTTGAGAATCGTGTTGAGTTTTACTTGGGAAATACAGTACTTAACTTGGATCGTCAATTCTTTGTGTTTCTCGAGCGGGCGGCTCGTACGGCCGGCCTTGCTGCCCATGGCAAAATATTATGATTGCTACACAAGCTTTTTTTAGGCCATGGAACTTTCCAACTATCTTGTGGAACAATGTTAAACTGAATTAATGTTGGCTGCGCCCAGATTACTTCGAAAATTACTGTTAGTTCAAGCACTTGATGCTAAACTGAATTACCAATCAGGCTCTTCTGTACGTGTTGGTTCTTGTTACACTGAATTACCTAGACCTTGCTGTACATATGATGATCCATTGCCATGCATAGAAAGGCTTTGTTTTTCAATTTGTCAAGGTCAGTTCATCTATTTTTTTTGGACTTCTTTTCGTAAAACTCATAGAACTTGTAGGCCATGGAATGGCTTCCGTTACTTGGGACATGTTACCTGGTATACCAATCCTCGTTGTAAAACTACTACTGATAGATTCAGACTGTTCTATACATGCTGTTGTTCAGAGGCGGTTGGTTCTTATTCTACTATCAGATTTGCTTCTGTTGATCCCTATTGTGTTTGTTGGTGTCTGATCTTACAGGAACTCCTAGGGCTGAAGGGCGGGGCCTGTCATCAGCTGTTGTGCCCTGGTCTTCTTTAGCATCAGCGGTGATGATAGCCGCAACCCTTGGTTCTAGGGGAGAGCAGCAAGGTGCTTCAGGGAGACCCGCGGCCCTGCGGGAGATGCCATTGGTGTGGACGAGAGGGCTCCACAATGGCATGAGGACTGTAGGCTTTCTGTACCAGTACAGCAGAGTTGATGAGCTGAGGATCATGTGTGTGTGCCATGGTAGCTTCCTCACTCCGGCGGAGTTTGTGGAGCATGCTGGAGGCGGCCAAGTCGCCAACCCGCTGAGGAGCATCATCGTCAAGACCCCGTCTTGGCTTTAGACCGGCGCGGCGCGGCGCGGCGGCGCATGCATGCAGATGAGATCGCCCAAGTGTTAAGCGTATTACCTTCGAACTAGAAATCTCATCGTGAGCTAGACTGCATCTATGTTACAGACTTTACATTACAGTACTTATTACCTGAACTGAAGACATTTTTTTTCCGACAAAGCTGAACTGAACTGAAGACATGGTGGGAGATTTGCTCCTGCAGACAACTTAATAGCAAACATAAAGACAGATTGAACATTACTCGTTGTTCTGGTCATCGCTTGTTTCCTGTACTGTTTTCTTGTACTGTTTCATCTTCCGGTCAGCAGCTTACCCTTGTTAGAAGACGCACGGACACAAGTGGTGGAACATCTTAGTTAGAAGACACAGGTTAGCCTCTTAATGTTAAGCGCTTGTAGTTGGTAGCATCCATGTGGCGATATGCATATTTTGGCTCTTAATGTTCGCGTTTGCTAATTAGTGGCTGAAACAAATTGTGGCGTCAGTCAATTCTCAATTCTGGCGAGGCTGAAGGCGGCGGTGGGTTGAGGAGCACCGATCCCGGCGAGACCATGCCATCGTCGAGAAGGAGCCGGCGATAGCCGGCGTGAGCGAGTCCAAAACTTGACGGGTGCAGGTCGAGGGGTGTGGGGTCGCCGGAAAGTCTGTTTGGCGGTGAGGTTTAGAGGGATGGCCTGGGGTGTCGGGGTGAGGCTAGGGGAGGGCGGTGCGGCGAGGCGGTCGGGGGAGCGCAAACGGCCGCGGGTGGCGGCGGCAGGTGTCCCTGCCGGCGGTACGTGGGGAAGGGCGAGGAATTTTGGCTGGAGGAGGAAGATGACATTTAGATCGGGAAATTGACTGATGGCAAAGAAAAATGCAGGTACCCGACAGATAGGCGCTCCCCTTAATGTTTCATTTGGTTTTGCTTTGAGGTTATTTGAAAGAGCTCGGCCTTTTGTGTGCAGGAGTTTTCAAAAGAAATCAGAAGCATCCTACATATTGCTGTTCCAAAGGAGCTCGAGCATCTAAATTGGCACCACCATGGGCGAAACATGGAAAAATAAGTTCAGTCGAGTCATAAGTGTGATTCACACAAAATATCTACTAGCATATGTGAGAAGAGAGAAAAATGGACAAGTGACTGCATGTTGCCTCGGATATGGTTACCCGAATTTATTACCACAAGGTAACATCATGAACACCTGGGTTACCAGAATGAGACCCGCTTCGATACACCCCCCTCATGAAACGTATAAAGGGCAGTATGGACCTTTAACATATCGTACACAGTTTGCTGATATATACGAATGTACATTAGCCTAGGGGTCAATACAGTGTCATTTTGTATCTTTCGTTCTATTAAACTTCAAAAAGTACATGCTTGTGCCGTAAAACTTCTTTCCTGCTACTTATTGCAGTATAATGCTAATAAAAAACACGCATTTCCCATCTGATTATTTTTTCAGTTTGGCCGTTTTCCTTTGGTTTTTTACTTTTTGCTTATTTCTTAATATTTTCCTTTTTATACTTAATTCGCAGAACCTTTTAAAATTCATTAACTTTTTAAAAGTTATGATTTTTTTAAATGAAGTTTTTACGAACTCAGGACTTTTCTCAAATTCATGATTTTCTAGTCTTTGATTTTATTTCAAATTCATGAGCGTTTTTGAGTCTGCGGTTTTATTTCAAATTTGTGAGCTTTTTAAAAATTTCATGAGCACATGGAACTTTTTTCAGTGGTTTTATGCTTGCAACCAGACACACTGTGTATGTTCGGGTAGGCTAGAAGGGCAAGTTTCGAACCACTTTTTTTTCACCTCCGAACTCACTCAATTTTCTCCACACCCTGGCATCACCATGGCCAGCATGCATGTTGGTTTCTGACATTTTATGTTTTTTTAGACTTTTCGGTGAATAAACCCTAAAACACAAGACCGAATTCGTTCAAAGCTTGCATGGGGGACAACATTCGGCATGCCCAACTGTCGGCAAAATTTGTTGTCATTTATATTTTATATTTTATATTTTATATTTATCTTTTTAATTTATTGTTGCTCATGTTTCTTTTCCTTTTTATTTTTTCACATTTTCTTATATTTTTTTGACATAATTTGTTCACAAAGTCAATAAAGTTCTCGTTGAAAAAGATTTAGAAAATTAGTTTATTCTTATCATGTTTGAGAAAACATGTTTCTTGATAACAGGCGTGTGTGCATGCGTATACATGTAGGCATGGTAAACGAATGCAGGTTTTCTTCCATCGATACAATAGTTTTTTTTGCGGGACCATCGATACAGTAGTTGACGCTTATACATTCCCTGCTTTTAAATATCACGAGCGACAGCGTAGTCGGATGGCAAGTACTGTAATCAGGACGATGAGGTTACAAAATTTGTTCCCAACTTCCAAAAATATTCTTGATTTCAACAATTGTTCACAAATTCAATAAATGTTTGGGAATTTCATAAAAAATGTTCACACTTTGAAACAATTGTTCATAATTTTGTAAAAGGTTCGTGTTTTCAGTTTAGTTCCTGTTTTTCAAAAAATGTTCTTCTTTTCATTGCATTTTCCTTTGTAAAACAAATGTTTGAGAGTCCTAAAAGTCGCGTTTTCACAAAATGTTTTAGGTTTTAAAAAAAACAAAAAATTGTGTTCGAGTCTTCCAAAAAAATGTTTGCAGTTCCAAAAAATGTTATCATTTTTAGTTTTGTTCCTTCTATGATTCCGAAAAAATGTTCACGTTTTCACATAATGTTCTAGCTCTTTTTAAAATATCACAAATTTATAAATAACCGCGTTTCTATAAATATATACCTTTTCAAATTAGAAGTGAGGTCCAAATTTTTTTAAAATTGTAGCAGCTTTTGGTTCATATAGACTGGGTTACCTTTTTGGGCAAGAAATCTCAGTTGGTATAGTGGCTACTGTCATGGTTGACTGGTGCGATGTCCCTGGTTCCATCCCTATCGCACGCTTTGGTTTATCTTAATTTTGCGAACTCTTGTTTTAAATTTTGCCGCGATCTTTAGTTTCTTAATAATTCGCGCTGTAACTCTAACATAGCAGATAGGTTGTCATAGTGGTTAGTTCAGCGTCCACATATACTAGTAGATGCAGGTTCGATTCACGGCGGCCTTATCTTTGTTCATTACGCCTCATTTACCTCATGAATCAGGAGCATGCATGCCCACATGTACATCATTCAGATATATAAGATCAACCATGTTGTGCAGCCTTTTTCTTACCTACTGGCCTCAGTGCAGTGAACATAGCCATGATTACTTTATATAATGTTGAACTTACAATCTGAATGTGGTACGTCTAAAAATATCCGCTTATATAATTATATGGAGTCTATAACAGAACGTGAACAAAAAAGTGCCTTAGAAATTTGGCATAGCCTGCTATCGCAGATTTTCGTTTGGTATAGGAAAAATGGAATTTTTGCACTACCAAGATAATCCAACTCTCTTTAACATAACCTTTCTTATCCCGCAGCCATGACCCAGTGGTTATTCTTTCTTTAGTCACATCAAACATCTTGTACTATTTTGTTCCCTTTTTTTTGTAAAATCTGGTATGCCGTGTAGTTACCATTTACACTGGACCTTTTGACCAAGCGAGCC